ACTGTTCATATAATTAAAAATTTTCTGATACAAGTGTCTAGGCATTTTTGATGTCTGAATTCGTGTAGAGGGGTGTTTCACAGTCTAAGAAACGTTGAATATTTGAAGGATCCTTATCTTAAGCCCAAGAAGAAGACGGAAACTCCGTTATCGACGGAGTAGAAAGAAGATCACAGCTGCTTTCTTGGTTTTGGCATTAGCCGGCAAATGCATAGGTAGCTGTGTGAAACATAACTTTTTAGTTGAATAACATCAGTTCTGCTTGTTTTACAATTTGCTCGGTGAAACTTGAATGTATTTAATAAATTGTGCCTGAGACAGAAATGAATGCAAAGGAACAATTTGCCATGGTTACAGGACAGGATTTTGAATGTCATCGATAACTGCCCACCATTTCTTCCTTGGGAAATTAGGACAAGGAACCGGAGTAACTTGACATGTTGCATCTTCACTACCATCATCTTCTTCCCTTGATAAGAAATCGATTTTTTCTGATTTTAAAATTTCAGTGGGGAAAGTTTAGGACACAAATCTGATTCAGTAAACAAAGTGGTAGAATGAAGGGTAATTTACATTATATATACAAATGCAGCTTACAGTTATAGACATCGATAATTTAGAATGTTTATGTTCAGACAACCAGTTGTGCGACAATGGTTTTATCTCTGCTTTTGATTAATCAAAGTATAAAAACTTTTGGTAACAACGAGAAAACTGTGCAATTCTTACGAATTCATTACGCAGCCGCTCTCGGAACTTTCCTGTAGAAGATGGCCGTTAACTGAAATGTTACTTTTCCCATGTTCCTCTGATTCCTTGAAAGTCTTGACAATATTTGCAAAAAGAGTTTCACCCTCCTTTGCCAGTATGAGCCATGATTTCCCTCTCAGCGTCCTCGACCCACAACTCTTCAACGTTAACTCCCCTAAAATCTCAAAATTCCTGTCCTCACAAAGTTCGCAGATGCTCTTTGAGGCAAATCCACAATTAGCAGAATCTTTATTCTACGGCCAAATATTTATTCGTTGTACAAATATAATATTTCCACAGTTTTTGCATCTACAACTAATCTTTATTCTTCTCTCCATTTTATTTCTTCATTGAATAATCATAATGTGAACTTTTTTAAACCGAAATGAAATGAAATTTAATTTAGGCTTAATGCATAAATCAAATATAAAGTTAACTTTAGGTGCCTAAATAATTTTTCATTAAAAATATGTGTTTAACATTATAAACACTACAATTTTAAGTTTCTAGGATGTAACTGCCATTAAAAAAATTCGTTAAGCGACACATGTCACGTTCTAGTAATTTTAAAAAGTTTGTTCTTAAAAATTTTATTATATATATAAAAAACTCCTAATTTATCTAAAATTATAAAAAAAAAACCTCAAATCCTTTACTCTAATCCTTATTTCTCCCTTACCACCGACACTGGCGTCGTCATTTCAATCTTCTTTTTTGGTCGTCGTCTTCCTTGTCGCCGATCACACCGTTGGACCCTGTGGTGTTGTGCAAAGCTTACGTTTTACCCTTGTCTTCGTCAGGTTTAAATTGTGATTTGAGGTTTGCCGGTGGTTGTTCATTAGGTGGCTAGTCGTCAGGTGGAGGCGTGGTCGGGGTTAGGTTCGGTAGATGGCAACGACAATAGCAAAGGGCGACGACCGATGTTAGTATAGAGATTAAAATTAAGGTTTTCAAAGTTTTGAGATTTTATTTTAAGATTTGAGAAATTTTTGGGTATTTTCTTAAAAATAATTATATTTTATGTTTTGTATTTTAAATAAAAATTCTCAAAGTAACGTTGGAAACGGTAGATACCTATTTTTAACGAAAAATTCTTTATGTACCTAAAATTAACTTTAGGTATAGTTTAGACACTTATTTTTATATTAAGCCTTTAATTTATAAAACTCTAACAATATTTTTACCATATTCAAAAATTACTTTTGATTGATAAATAAAAAAAGAATTGACGTATCATTCTTGAAAATCAGAAACTAAAAAAAAGAACAAATAAAAAATTAAATGAGTGATTTCAGTAATAAACGATAATATATATTCTTTCTAAATAATTCAAGTTTGAGTAACATTATTTAGAAGATATGTGTGAATTTTATCCAGATTATAAAGAAAACAAATACTACCACAAAATCACGAGAATGATAAAAGAAAAAAAAATGAACAATAAATAAAAATGAAAAATTTTCAGATATGGTGGCCCATTTAATGGCCAAGCTTCGTCCCACCCAAGATCACACGCTGCTCACCTTCTCTGTTGCTCCTGATGCTGTTTTACCTTTAGTTGATCGGGATGTGTTAGGTCCCCCCCACTTTAAGTCTCTGTAAACATTTAAGGTTGTTTCCTCTTTCTATTCAAAAAAGGGAAAAAAAAAGAGTATTGTTCTTCCCAGCAGTCTTAAATTTTAAGTAGTTACATCTGCAGTGGTTTTAATTTATTACATATTTATCTACGTATATCATCTACATCTTGCAAAAGTAGCAACTTGTCCCTCCTTTGAACAAACCTTTCTTCTCTTCCAAATCTTACTCCCCAGAAATTCTCCCAATCTTCTTCTTAGAGAAGAAGAAGATCCCTTGGCTCTGCCATTCATATTGCTGGTAGAATCCGCAATGATGGCCGGGGTGACATCTTGCCAAGGAGAAATCCTGGTGTTCATCATGTTGGAGCCACCAAGGGAAGGGAATTTCATCAGATGCCTCTCGATTTGATGACTGAGTGATACCAATTCATATGAATCATACAAAGGGCTGCCACAATCCCATATATCCAATGCCGCTGCTTCATCTCTTTCTTTGGTTTCGGATGCTTTTTTCATATTTTGAGTTTGAGAAACAAGCCTGTGGGATTTGTCAGATGGAAGAGCTTTGCAATGAGCATTTTACATTGAATTTTAAATTAAAGATAGCTTGTCCCACTCTGTAATGTGGGAATCCTTGAATCATTCTTTTCTTCTTTTTCTTATTATTTGTGACGAGTGATGAACAACTTGAATATCTTAATTAGCTGACAATTGAAACAATTATTGTCTTTCAATAATAAACTTAGGTGGCCTTCATATATAAAAAGCCAATAGAAAAGGCAAAACAGTTGTCCCAATGAGGGTGAAGAAAATGACAGATCCGCACACTAAGGAAATTGGGTTTCAAGGTTGAGCTATTAGATTATACTCACTCTGCATTTTAAACACCAGATCAATCAAAGCATAATTTGCAATTTTACATACTTTGTCTTGACGGTCGAAGCTATGTTTGCTTTTGAGTAAAGATATTGATGTATTACTTGATTTAGTAGTGCATTTGATTGAACCTAAGTTGAAGCCATATTGAATTTGTTTAAAGATTAATTAACTAATAACTTGTAACCCTCTATCTGATCCGAACATTCTAGCAAGTAAGAGATGTTACATTATTTGAGAATTAATTTAGCATTTACAATATTTTTCGAGAATAAGAGGACCATTTTGTAAAACAAACAAGACATATATGGCATGCGAGCAAATGGAAAAATTATTTATGCCTAAACCCCAAATTGAGAATCTTGTAGAACTAGCATAATTTCACAATGGGTAAACGCATCCCAACAACTATATACACTTTTATCATTAGTCAATTCAGAGATGATAATAGACTTTATGTGACAGCACTCAACAATGTAGTTGATCAGCTTTTATGGATTCCAAACATATAATATATAGTTTCCAAATTTCAATATTGGTTGGGTGAATATGACTGCCTATAAACATGCATGAATCGATCAAGTAGGAATGTCCATTGGGTGCTGCTAAAGACAATTGTTTTTGAAATATTGTCGATGATGAGACACACTAAAGTTTTATTTATGTTTTAATATATTTTAAATTTATTTTATAATTTATACTATTGTTTTTAAAATTTGAATAAAAATTTTTCATTGAAAACGCCATGTAGTTATTGGAAAAGGTTTTAATTGTATTATTTTAACTTTTATTATTCATTAAAGAAATTTCGTACAAAACAGACATGAACTAGACTGGTGAAGCCGACCTTTATGTCCAAAGAAGATGAATATGCATGCATCCAAAATTCCCGAATAATGTTGTGTTTTTGTTTTTTATTTTATTTTTCGGCCGGCATTATCGGTTCTCTATGAGTTATCATGTTTTTCTTTTCTTTTTTAATTTGAAGATCCGTTTTTTAGTATTTTATTTAAATATTTTTTTATTAATTTAAGGCAATTGAAAAATAATATTTATTTAAAATTGTCTCAATCAATTCACAATGAACACGCACTCTTACCGATGTCATTGGTTGAACCCAGAACGTGTAAGAAAAACAACACCCTTTAATCATTATAACCTAATCCAAATGAAAATGATAGAACTTAGTCGTAACCAGGGAATTAAATTGCGATTGCAGTCACGATAGCATTTTTGATTGCGTTTATCGCGATTGTCGACATAACTAGAGTATTACGATGATTACGAGTACCACAATCATACAATAACAATTTCGTACAACATCATTACCGCTATAAAACATACATTAATACGATAACGAACCGTCATTTAAAATTTAAATTCATGATGATAATTATTTTTATCTTAATCATGAAGAAGTTGAAACAAGATTTTCAAAACCCTAATGTTTCTCACAAATATTGCTTGAACATACATTAAAAAAAACATCATGAAACCCAAACTACGGCGCGGCATTCGTTTTTCTTTTTACACTTGCAAGTCTTTGCTCGTTGGGAATCTGAATTATCCAGAGTACAAAATATTCATGTTGATAATGATTACAGCAAAACAAAAGTAGCAGACTAGAACATTTTCCACGTCTAGGAAAAGATAAACCCCACCATATTAACCTTCCTAATCCACTTTAAAGGCTGTTGATTGATTGATTTGGGACTTTATTTTATTTCGTTAATGAACATCAAATCATTTATAAAAAGTTAGTCACCAATTATGTCTCAATCTATTGAAAAGATAAGATTGTGGCCAGTGGAATACCTTTCGATTTATTATAAAACAAAAAATGCTGAGAAAAAGGTTAGCTAGAAAGCAGTACTGGAGTAGCTCTTGGCCACATTGTCGCACAAGATTTGCAACACTTTATGATTCGTCGGTCCGACGCATCGTGGTGTTTTAAACTGGCTAACAGCACCACCTAACCCTAAGTAATGGTCCAGTATCTTCTGAAACGTTCCCCTCCGAAGAATTCGGAGCTCGAGCGGACCGATGGCGTTCACCTTCCGGGAACTAACGTAGCCGGCATCCACAAACGAACGATCCAAACAATTGCAGCATTCTTTCAGCACTTGGTCGCTTACTTCCCCACTAATTTCCCAGAATATCACGTAGTGACCGGGGTCCGTCCATAAGTCAACATGGCTAGAGAAATCGATCACTTCCAGCTTTTCCTTGGCAATTAACTTGGCTGCTTCTTCCACGGCTTGCTGCAAATCTTTCTCGGTGTTCTTGTCGATGTTCACGGTGAGCAGCAGATTTCTTCTGCATATAAATTTTAGTTCCGGGGTCGAGTTATGGAACCCCATAACCTTGACAACATCCCCTAACCGGTACCTGTATAAACCTGTGGTTTACAGTTGAAAGGGTATTAAAATATTTGATTAAAAATCTGCAGACTGTTCGAACTCGAGTACGTCTCGAGTCCTTAACGTGTATACACTTACATCCTGAGAAACATGGCTAATGCAATGTTTGAAGGGGGAGGCAAAAGAAACTGCAGACAGAGTCAACGATCCAGAATAGAAAATTTCCATTTCCAGCTAGCTGATACCAATGACTAAAACACAAGCAGTTTCCAGTAAACATCTTTTTTAAAAACATTAGTATATTATTGTGTGATGCATGTGATCATTTTTTAATTATTTCCATAACCTAGGCAGTTTTGTTTTACATGATCCTATACTTTTCCAGCACGATACACAAAACCCTATGACATCCAGATAATCTCCTCTCTTTCTTTGTCATATATAACAATGTTAATTATAGTTTAACAAAGATTGTTGACAAAAAAAACCCATCCTTTTCATAATACATCATTAATTTGTAAGTTTTTATCCTTAATACCTCAAAGACTTCGGATATTTATGAGAAATCATTGACCTCTTCACCTACATCATTTATGCCTCTAGGCTACTCTTTATTCTCCAGAAAAAAAATTCCAGCAATTAACTCATGGACTACCCTGAAAGATTTTCTGACATACTGAATTTTCAAAAATGGAAAACCTATAGAGAAAAAAAAATTTAGTACCTGCAACACTTGTGACAATAACCTCGTACTCTTCACCAACCTTAACTTCAGTCAGACCAACTGGTTTGGGCTCCATAGAGATGAAACTAGCATCAAGCTTGTCTTGGACTTGCTCTTCAGCATTCTCTCTCAGTGGAATGAACTCAAAATACCCAATATTTGGAAGAACGGCATAAGTAGTTGACTCTGGAGGCACTTTTGGATTGACATTTGCCCCTATCCATCCCTCAGAAGAACCATAATCAGCACTTAAAAGAGGCACATCTCCTGCATAATGCCTTAGTTTTTTCAGATAAGGCTCCATGGAACCAGTCATGATCCCATAGATGTATTTTACATTAGGGAAAAGCTCTGGAATCAATCGGTACCAATTACTCAGTCCTGAACATTTCCTATGAATCAAGTCAGCCAATTCAGGATTCGGGTTCAGCCATTTAGCCATCGCTGATCGAACCGAAGGGAAAGTGATGCGCCTTGTGAGGACACCTTCTCTAATATCAGCACAAAGCTCTTCCCATACTTGTTCAAAAGTTCGAAACGCATGAACGATGCTATGTGCAAAGGTAGAAGAAACAAACTGAACTTCCTCCCGGAAAATCAATCCACATAAAAGATGGCAATACAAGGATTGGTGGAAATCTGGAGCAAATATCACCTCATCGGGGCTGCAACACTGAGATTGCATCGCTTTCATCTCAGTTTTATACTGCGAATTGCGGAACATATTGGTCGTTGCAGTTCCGGCAGACAAGCCCCCCTTGGTTTTACTCTGCTTGCTACTATAAATGAACTGCAAAGCCTTCCCGTTCTTAATAGGGAATTCCCTGTACATCAATCCAAACTGATGAATAACAGAGAAACAGCTCAAAGAAATTTGGTAAGCAGTTTGGGGGACAAGAAAGGTTAAAAGATATTCAATTATATACCTGTTTCTGAAAGCATAAGAAGTACGGAATATCTGCAAAGTAGTTTCCATCAATTCGTCATTGAAAGGCACGAACTTGGGTTTTCCTTGGGTGGTGCCAGAGCTGCAAATTTACAACAAAAATTTAAGATTCAATTTGAAAGGAAAAGAAAAGGGTAAAAGAATACCTGAGAGATATGTTGGTTATTGGTTTTCCGGTGAGAATCGGGGCAGAAGGACCCTCGGCGATTCTTTGAATGTAAGGCTCCAAGTCCTGGTGAGTGACAAGAGGAACACAAGACTTGAAGCTTTCAGGGTCAGTTCTGCCAGCGAGACCCAGATTCTGCAAATACTCGGCGCCTCCATTTTCTTCTAAAATCTTCTTCAAAGTCTCACGTTGAACGTTCTTGGCATCTTTGGTAATCGCTTCAAACTCTTTTATCAATTTATCAACGTCCACAATTTCCATATTTTCTAACATAGTTAATGAATCCTATGACATAAAAATCAAGACAAGGCAATGAAATGGTGACTAATTTACCTGTTATTTATGGAGAAAAAAAGCTGAATTTGAAAGCATAGAAAAATCAAAATTGACTTCTTCTTTGTTATTAATAAATGCAAGAAAAAAAGGAACTGCTAACAAAAATTAAAGAAACAAGCTTTTGTACTGTGCTCACGAGGTACCCGCAAAAAGATGAAGTAAAAAAAGTCAACAATTAAACAAAATTGCAAATGAAACAGAATAAAAAGTAAGTATTTGGATAAACTGCAGTTTGAAATTCAGTGAAAACCTTCTTTTTCTCCGGAGATGAAATCCAGTTACCTGAAGAAACTCGGTGTCGTTTTACTAAAACAGTGAGACAGAGATCAGGCAAGCTGGTATCAGTCAGAACAGACCTATCCACTTTTTGTAGGAAAAGCAGGGATTTGGTGAAGGATTGTTTTTGTTTTTTCACAGAATTCAATGCTTTTTTTCTCGTTTTCTGAAAGTGATTATCTCTGTCTACTTCTTCTGTAAATAAAATGGAAAAGGTATTCAGTCTTAACTTGTAAGAAAGAAAGTGGGGGCAAAGGCAAATACAAATTGCTTTGTTTTTGTTTGGCTATGGAGAATAGGGAGGTAAGAGAGAAGATTATTTGGCTCGCAATTTATAGTTAATTTTACTCTTTTTTTTAAAAAAAAATAAACTATACTTTTCATCCTTCAACTTTGACATTATTTTTATTTTGGTAGCTCATCTTTAAATGTTTTATTTTTTTAAGATTGAATTTTTTTATCACTCATATCATTACTCTATAATAACAAGATGATATGACATACTTTATTAACATTTGAAGTGCATAGACAATAATTAATATTTTATTAAAATTATTTGTACCTTTTTATTTATATGAGAATTTTATAAATATTTAATTGTATATCTCTGACTGTCGAAGTTTCCATTTGAAGATCTCAACATTTGAGAGGCTCCTCTTGAGATGGGAAGCAATATATCTTTATTCAGAGAATCATACTCCATCCAATGATGGTGGTGAAGATTAGAGATTAAAAATTTGAAACATCCAACATTATATTAATTGAGTTTGCGCTGTTTTCGGTTAAACATACATCGAATACATGTTCAAAAGGGCAGAACGAGTTTGATGAGAAATTTTGAGATTTATCGACAGTTGAAATGATGAATGAAGCGTTGACCAAAATCTAAGTTGATTCAGAAAAAGTGAGATAAAAGAAGAGGAAGTTCAAATATATGATTGAATCACGAAACCTTGGGTTAATTTTGCTTCAACAGGGAAACAAAGGCAGTTCCTTCACTAGACCTATACTGTTTTGCCGGCTAAAAGATACATAAATGAATGCCCCTAACAAAGAAGCTTTTTTCTGAACCCAGATTTTATTAATATAATAGACACCAAAAATGTATGGAGCAGTGTGGATCAGACACTGACTGATAACGACGTACCACACAGTTGACACCAACTCAAACCATGACGATTCCTTTTCCATTTGATGGGGAAATTCTGATAGTATCATTCCTCCTTTATCACGGGGCAATGGTGAGGGGAGAAAAGGGTAGCTGTTAATGCCATTCATCTATTGTGCCTGGTGGGGTTGAATATATGTACAAATATTGTAAAATGTATGGTACAAAAGTGTATTTTAATTTTATTGTAAAAAAAAAGTCTGAACTTGTTTATTGAAATGTTCAATCGGTTAATTCAATTATGGTTGATCCGGATTAACTATTTGAATATTTGAATATTGTGATGGAAGAAAAAAAAATACTTAAACAATGAACACCAAAATTATTTCATGATCTAAGATGATTGTTACAATAACTTAAGGATCTCGTTGTTATCAGGACTCCATGACGATTTCAAGAAAACGTGTTGACTGCATGCATGTCGACATGATATCAACATGTATGCATGGTGACTTCCCATGCCTCCCCTACGTCCGGACTACTTTGTTGTCAGGTAACTAAAGGTGGGGCTAGGCATGCGCAATGTGCGCGACGAAATAGGATCCCGGAATAGCAAATGCCCAAAAAGTTTACAGTGAGATTATTGGTATTATCGTAGATGATTAAACTATCAAAAAGGAGCTCAAAAAACTTTGTTTGAAGGAAGATATGAGAAATACCAATAATTAGTACTATGCTACAGCTGTAAAGTTTATCTCTTTTTTTTTTGTCTAACTCACTTTACGAAAAGGGTCTCTTTTTAAGAATTTACACAAAACCTCCAACGTACTAGCCCCGGCCCTGCAGGTAACATGCATGCAACCAGTATAAGAGCTCGTCTTGTAAGCAGGAGAGACCATAAAATCAACATGCAATCAATCTATTTTCTTAAAATTCTCGTAGAGTCCTAACGAAATCCTCGAGCTACTTTAATAATCACCTTATATTATGAAATAATTTCTTATAATTCTTGTTCAAGTAACTTTTTTTTCTATCATAATATTCAAGGAATTTTGCCATATAGTTTAAATATATTTTCAAAAAAGTATTATAAATAGTTAAAAGTTTTCCATATACATCAATATCGGATTTGACTTGTTCTCCAACCAAACTAGCAAACAAATGAAAATAAAAACAGAGAGACAAAAGTTGTAAATCAGGATTATCTTCATTCAGTGCATTGGAGCCCGTTCCTTCCAATGAGTCGACTATGACAGATAATTCATATCTCTATATATATCCATCCTTAACCATAAAATATATTAACCACAAGTTTAAAATTATTATTACATAAAAAAAAACACCCCCAATTACCATTAACAAGTGGTCCTGAAAACGTTTTTTTTAAGTAAGAAAACGAATTTATGTTTGACAACTATTTATTTATTCTGCAATTTTCTTAATCTTTTGAATGTAACAAATCGAATTCCCTCTTGTAAATCATGGTTAACCAAAGGTTAGAGAGTGACGTTTAGGGTTATAACATTAATTAACAAAACACAATTAGGAAGCTAATAAGAGAAAATACGAGTATAAGGGGGACCAAACAAATCATGTTCAAGAACTTGATTAAGTCATAAAAGAAATTGATTTGCTTGTTGAACCGGCTTGAAGAGTTTTCATTATGTTGAGCATCTTCTGCTTGTAAAGATACTTTTTGCTAAAGTTGAAGCAAAAATTTTCTCATCTTTCACGAAGGAAACGTGGATTGTGCAACAAAAATGCTATGTACATGCATGTGGAAAGAGTTGGCTTGTAATGGCTTTACATGTACTTTCTTAAGCATATGGAAAACTTTTAAAATTTTATGACATGACAAATTTATAAAATTCTAGTGAACAAAACAAATTATTAATATAAAATACAAAGAAAAAATCTAAACATATGATAATTTAAAATTTTCCCAGGCTCTCGGTTCATCCCAGAGCACAAATTCATTATGGTTGATTTTATTTTTCTCTACTTCGTCTTCAGAGAGAATATAAGACATGTTTTGAGTGAAAACCAGATTAAGCCTTCTTTTTGTCTCAAAGCAAATCGAAGCCAAAAAAGAGCAGGGGGTTCAGAATTTGAGGCATGAACATATGCTCTCCTTCCTCTTGGAGTCACTGGCTTTTTGAATTCATTTCTAAATTATACCCACAACGAGTCATTGGAGGAGGACTTGATGGTCTTCCTTTTTGTTCACTCAAAAAGAAGAGAGCATACATATTTAATATTTTATGATAGAGAAAATAATTTGCATGTCAGAAATACTAGAAAAAACAGAAGAATACAAGACCAGTAAATAATTGAATTCAATTCTGCAAAAGAATTGAAAAGATCTAAACTCCAAAAAGATGGTCTTCAAGCTGAGCAATCAATCAAAACTCAATAAACCCGCATGTAATGCAATGGATGCTAAACAATATAAAAAACTGAATCAATTATAACTAACAAAAACACAAATTTTGATGTCAAGATGGCCGAGTTGGTCTAAGGCGCCAGCTTAGGTACTGGTCCGAAAGGGAATGGGTTCGAATCCCATTCTTAACATCAAGTTTGTGCCTGCATTTTTCTTTCGTGGTCATATTTTTAAACTTAAAATGATTATCTTTGAGTTTAAGTATCAATGTTATTCTTAAGGTATCAATACTATATGAATTAGAATTAAAAAATTTAAGCAATTCGTTCATACGATATCGATACCCATTCAAAGAATATCGATACTGACTCTTCGATATCGATACCGAATAGAGAGTATCGCTACCGAAATTAAATGGCGCATTCTGTTATGCCAATTTGATATCGGTGCAGGCAGTGTAAAGTTACGCTTCTCACAATTGCAGTCGACTAGCAGCTCACTTGGCCATCTCTGGTTTTGTTTGGTTAGAATTGTTGAAAGCATCTTGGTGTCTCATTGCTACTGCCATTGTTTCGTTTCTATCCCAATGTGACGTGCAGTAAGCTTGGTGAACTTTTGTGATCATGGCTGCTTATCCTATTTTGAGCAGGGTGTTTCTGGAGTTCTGTAACTTCTTAATTGTGTTAATTGTCACTTCTTCTATTAATACACATGTTTGTTGTTCGTTAAGCGAAAAAATTGATATCGATGTTGTCCAAAAGAATCAATACCAACAAATTGAGTATCAAAACTGAAGGTTAGAAAAGTTAAATTTGTCCCTTAAACCAGTTGAGGATGATGGGTAATGACCTATTAATAGGGGTGTCTATGTTAGATTTAATTAAACTTACAAAAGCAATTAACACTTAATGATCCTAATAGGATAATTAAATCAATCAAATCATTTTCATGACATAGTTATTAAAAGTTACAGTAAAAGGAACGGAAACTTACTCGATGATTCCATTATGATGCTTAAATATCCCAAAAACAAGTAATAATGAATGTTATCCAATTCCAATACCGTATAATCATCTATTCGTTTTGTGGTGATATCAAGACTTGTTTGATTCTTGATGAAAATGAACCAAGACCCTTAAAGCAGAGTGTTTTTGTGTTTCAGAGAAAAAGAAACCACGTAAAAAATGTCTGCTACGTAAATTAAAAATTGATTCCATTTTGTTTTTAATTCACAAAATAACCAAAAGACCACTCTACTTTGTCAGTTACACATAACACCAGTCAAACTTATATTTTCATGGTATAAGAAGGAGGAATTTACACCCGATAATTGTCTCTTCAATAATATACTAATCATCACCGTGTGTACAACAATAACAATTATCAATTACTTAAATTATATGAATCAATATTAGAAATCAAAATTTCTAATATTTCTCCCACTTGATTCATATACGACAAGTATATAACATATTAACATAATCTGACCTCACTTAAATAATGTAATATACAAGTCACAACTTCGTAAGAACTAAACCGACCGAATCATGGTAGTCACGGGCTTGACAAATGTCCCGATTCCTTCAATGTATTATAGGTCAATCCAATTCAAACAATCACAATTTAATAAGATAGACACCGGAAAACATCTTATCTGACAATGTCTTAAAATAAGACCCAACATCTATAATCATAACAAAATATACATAACTGAAATATGATTCATAGATAAAAAAAATCCAAACAAACATCGATATCTAGAGTATTAAATAAACATAAATGTGCAAGACATATATTCATACATGTATGACTAATTATCCGCTATACAAAGACTTTAAAACTATTCCCATTTCACTAACATGGTCAATAAATGTCTTAGGAGCTAGTCCTTTAGTCAAAGAATCCGCAATCATATCATTGTGCCAATGTGCACTATTTGAACTCTTTGATTTTGTACCTCTTCTTTGACATATAGATACTTTAAATCCATATGTTTGACACACTTGGAATATCTATCGTACTTTAAATCCTCATCGATTTAGCAATGGTACCAACGATGCCTAAACCATCAACAAAATTGCATAGCCACAACGATTGAACTCTAACTTCAAAGCATGCTACAAATTCAACCTTCATAGTGGAAGTTGCAATGATAGACTGCTTACCACTCTTCCATGAGTTGCCATCAACTAAAAGGAACAAAAAGCCAAATGTGGACTTTTGGGTATCTGAACATCCGACATAGTCCGAGTCTGAGTAACCAACAACCTCAAGGTTACTAGTTTTTCTATATGTGAGAATGTGATCTTTAGTGCCTTAAAATTTTCTTTGTAGCTCTCCAATGAAAAAAATCTAGGATTTGATTGATAACAACCCAACATACCGACCGTAAAGCTTATATCTGACCTGGTACAGGTCTGAGCATACATCAAACTCCCGATAAAGATGCACAAGGGATATTATCCATTTCTTTATGCTCCATATCATTATTGGGACATTAGAATAAACTAAAATTGTCTCCTTTCTCGATGGGAACTGGACTAGGTGTACATTATTCCATTTTAAATCTTTCTAGAACTTTGTTGATGTAAACCTTTTGAGACAATTCTAAAATTCCTTGTAATCTATCCCAAAATATTTTTATTTCGATCACATACGAATCCTCACTCATATCCTTCATCTCAAAGTTGCTAGAGAGATAATTTTGAACATCATGCAACAACCCACAATCACTAGCAGCAAGAAGAATACCATCTACATATAACACAAGGATTATAAACTTTCTTCCCACAACCTTCATGTGGATACACCAGTCAATGGTCATTTTTACAAAGTCATATGACAATACAATATCATTAAACTTCAAGTACCATTGTCAGGAAGCTTGTTTAAATCCATAGATTGATTTTTTCAACCTACATACCATATTTCTTTCACTTGTGGTCTCAAAACCTTGAGGTTGATCCATATATATTTCTTCTTCCAAATCTCCATTGAGAAAGGTTGTTTTAACATCCATTGGTGAAGCTCAAGATCAAAATGAGTCACCAAAGTCATTACAATCCTTAAAGAGTCATTTCTTGAAACTGGAGAGAAAGTCTCTTTATAGTCAATGACATCTTCTTTAGTGTAACCTTTGACAATAATTCTGGCTTTGTACCTCTCGACATTGCCCTTAGAGTCACGCTTGGTCTTAAAGAAACATTTATAGTTATTAACATGTAGCTACACAATTACCCAAAGGTAGATCTTACTCATGATTAATAACAATTGAAGTAGGTTATGAACTTTGTTTAATTAATATATAATATACATCCAAATATGACTTGTATGTTAAAGTAAACTTAATGATTGACCTTATATATGCTATATGAATGATGCATGTTTGATGATTGTTGGTTGTGTTTAGATTTAGCCCAAAGGTGAATTTAAATGTGATGTTTTAGTATATGTTATAGTTTGAATTGTGGTTTAAATTCAAAGCAATTAATATGTGTGATGTAAATGTTTGTAGTGGTCTTTACTATGTCAAATATGACTGCCAATGGCATCAAGTTTGATGGGAAGAACTATGATGATTAGATCGAATATGTCAAGCTAAATGCTGGTATTTTGGGACTCAATTTAGCTCTAGTTATAGATGAGCCCACTAAACCGGCTGATACTAATTCGGAGGCAGACAAGAAACTATGGGAGAACTGGGAGAGATCGAATAGGCTTATGATGAGCTTTTTTAAGCTTAGCATAACGGCTAATGTTAAACCTTCTTAACCCAATACTAAAAATGTGAAGGAATTTGTGGTTGAAATTAAAAAAGTGTTCTATAATAGACATTGTGGATAAGTATGTTGTTATTGCTTTTATTAATGATTTATCTAATAGAGATTACACTATAGCTCAGTCAATGGATGAACACATTACTCACATGGTGAATACCTACAACTAGCTTAAAAGTTTAGATATGGATCTTGTTGAGAGGGTATTGATTGAGTTCATGCTGAAATCATGTAAGGGTGATGATTTCCAGCAATTTCAGAGAACATACAACCAACTTAAGGAAAAATTGTCTCTTTCGGATAGTAAGGTCATGCTCATGCAATGGGAGGCAAGACAAATGGAATACCTTAAAGTCAAATTTCCCCAAGATAATTTTTCCTATTATTGTAATTCAAACGCTAGTTCTAGTGACGACAAAGCTCCAAGTAAGAAATAGAAGAACAAGAGAAAGCAACCATTTAAAGTTGCCTCTTCAATACTACAATAATCATCACCGTGTGTACAACAATAGCAATTATTAATTACTTAAATTATATGAATTAATATCAGAGAACAAAATTTCTAACATTTTACTTTTTGGTTAAAATCGAATTAACCAAGTAAACTAAAATTTAGTTTGGTTAATCGATTGGTTACTTTGATTTTAGATCGGTTAATGATTAATAAAATTTTCAAAGTTTGGTTAACTATTAATTCGGTTCAAAATTGATTAATTAACCAAATTAACTGAAAATATTAAATATTATAGATATGTAGGTAGGTAGGTAGGTAGAATATTAAGCTCAAATCCATTAAGAATTAAGGTCAAACTATTTTTTAATCACATTAGACCGTTAAATTTCAAAACTCAATTAAATTTTAACTCAAATGAAAAAATACCTCAATTAAATTTTAATTAATATAATTATTTTTTTATATTTGATTAATTCGGTCGTGTTCGGTTTTGTTAATAATTTTTTTAAAAAAAAATTAATTCTGTTAACGATTAAGGAAATAAAATTTGGTGAATGGTTTTGGTTAATTCTATTCAATTCAGTGACAGAACTAACCGTCTTAACATCTCTACCTATTAAGATTATATGATATTAAAATGAAATATTAGCTCGTTGAATGACTAAAGAATCTTTGTAAAGTTTAAATTACTAAAACTCTCTTGAAAACATAAAATTACAAAAAAGTCTCTACTAGCCTAAATGTTTAAAAGTTGATGTTTTTTTAACCGTTTGAATTATTATAAAATAATATCTATTTAGAATTTTTTAATTTATTGATAACTCACACATATTCTACATAAACAATTACTCGAACATACGACCTATAAAAAGAATTTACCATTGAAACCACTTGATAAGTTCTAAATACGGATGTTTAATAGATAATTGATACATAGGAGTTACTAATAAATCATGCAAATCCCATGTGATAAATAAATAGACATGCCTTGAAGGCTAAACGCCGTGAATATAATTATGTGATTAGGAATGGGAGATTAAATAACCTTTCACACCGTCCATAAACCTTCCACAATATAAGAAGAAGCTTATTAATGATATTAGGTTACTAAATAATTTGCATGTGACGATGAAAGGTTATGCATGGAGAAATACTCAAATTAATAAAAAGGAATATAAGAGTAATAAATAATCCAATTCGATTCTGCAAAAGAATTGAAAAGATCTAAACTCCAAAATGATGGTCTTCAAGCTAAGCAAATCACACAAAACTCAATAAACCAGCATGTAATGTAATGGATGCGAAAGAACCTAAAAGAAATTGATCATTATTAGTTAACGAGAACTGACTTGCCAATGTCAAGATGGCCGAGTTGGTCTAAGGCGCCAGTTTCAGGTACTGGTCCGAAAGGGCATGGGTTCGAATCCCATTCTTGACATGTTTTCTGTTTGCTATTTTTTTGTGGTCGTATTTCAGGGGAAGTGAATATTGTACATAGCACATTTAATAAAGACCATGAAAACTTAAATAAATGGCACTAAAGTTGCATTCGTCATTGTTGATGATTCTTTAGTGGAAAAGCATCAGATTGATCACTAATCTAAAGCTTTCCATGACAGTTCTAGTTGGATCTTTTTGGCTGACCAATGAATTTGGATAACTTTACGACCACCACTCCCTTTTTAACATTAACAAATTTTGATTAGGTTTTGAGGCCATTGGCACTTATGGGATATTCTATTTTATTCTAGGCTGACTATTTGGTATCCTTTTAATTTTTGTATTTTTGTTAAATATACAATGTGGGACTATAAGTTGGAATTACTAACACGAGCAAAATTTATCAATATTTAAAATATTAAAAAATTATTGAATTATTTTAAATTAGAACTAAATTGATAGGATGTATAAATTTTAGAGACTAAAATTTATATTATATCATGTTATATCATAATTTCTATTAAGCTAACGGTTAAAATTAACAAGTAATCAAAATAGAAACAAAACATGACGTTAAGTATGATATTGCCAAAGAAAAATAATTGAATGACCAAAACAATAATACAAAATAGATGAAATACCAAATAAGTGATTTATCCTTCATTCTATAACCTAACTCATTAGAGAAAGGGTGATGTAAGGAAACAAATAAGGATTTTATTTTCTTTAAAAATTGTAAATTAGATCTACGGTTTCTTTATAATTATGGTTTAAATTAGAAATAAGGGCTTTGTAAAATCCCAAAAATCAGACTAGTGACTGAAATGAAAGTTTTTGAAATTTAGTGACCAATTTAAGAAAAATTGAAAAGTTTAGGGACTTAAATATGAATATTGTGGTGTTGGATTAAATAGAAAATATGGAAGGAGTGAAGGGTATTATGGTCTTTTCAGCTTAAAGGATATTTTGTTTCCTTTATTAAGAGATAAACACGTGGGTTTTTGGGAGAGATTTCTAGAAGCCTTTTTCATCTTGCTTTCTTCTTCTTCCCGTAAGCTTCATTGCAAAGGTGAGTTTAACATTAGCTGTTTAATTCTTGGATTTTTTTAGTTGGGTTTTATTCTTTGGGTGGGTTTTATTCTTTGGGTGTTATATAAGCTTGAGGAAAGCTTATATATGATCAAAACAACAAGAAGAGAGAATTAAAAAGGGGATTGTTATAAGGGTGTAGAAATGAATTGTTGGTATGATGAAGTTTTTGAAGTTTTAATGATAAATTTGGCTTGTCATAAGAAGGATTAAGAAGTTTAAAGCATTAAAAATGAGTTTGGAACACATTGAAAGTTTAGTGAAATTCTTTAATTCAAGAGCTATAGTGAGATATTGAAGATAATGAAGTGTTATAGTGCTAAAAGAAGTATGTAACACCCCCCAACCCGTATCCGACCCGGATCCGAGTCCGAAGCGTCACATTAACTTTTCAAAAACCTTTACTTGTATAAAATAGTGAGTAATTTAAAATTTATTATTACATATAACTTATTCAAAACCTTTATCGAACTATTCAGAGCTTATACAATATATTATTTTGAATACATGCCAACTAGAATTTTTTGTATTAAAATACATATTATTCACCTTTCTTCTGATCTAACCTTTGGTAAGGAGAACTGACCTGTCTTGCTCCACATTGCTCTTTACTCTTCTCACTTCGGTAACCTACGTGTGAAACAATCACACGCTAAGTCGATGACTTAGTGAGGCAATAAACATAAAATATAAACTATAGCTTGTAATCATGCATGAACAATTACTACTATCACTCATACCCTTATTCATGTAACAAATCCCTATAACACATATGCAATATATATCATTACATATAAAAACATATACACACATATATTCCTCACTCATCATTTCCATCATTAGTCTTATTTCACTATCCATATTATTATCATTTATATGTGTTGATCATATCCTCTTGAACCTAACCTTGTTAACCAACATATGCTTCGTGTAACCAAACAATACGCATATCATCATATGACTCGTGCAATACACATATCAACATATATCAAAGAAGCATATTTTTCACATGTAATATATATTTATTTTTATATCTTTGTCTAGCCCATGTACATTTCTGAGAACTATAGATATGTGAGTCTATAGAGGTTGTGCACTACTGCTGTCACCACAGCTCGTATAAATGCACCGAAGTGCCACGTAGAATTGCACCGTAGTGCCGCGTAGAAATTCACCGAAGTGCCATATAAGGTTGTCCCTAAGGACCATATATCATTCCTTAAGAATCATATACATATGCCAAGGATCAAGTATGTGTCTCAAAAGACCTCACACATGTTCCAAAGAATACATATATGTCCCGAAGAACCGCGTAGACCCTCGACTCTTGGCATGCCAATTATACTCTAACTCTCATGACACATAACATGGGCATCATCATTTATGTCATTTCACATATATACTTTCATATCACATGTCATATAAGCTCATAGCTTCTTTTCATATTCTCGTAGGATCACATAGTTCATATCTTATACTTTGTTTTCTCATGTTCACATATACCATGTCATATGGCTCATATCTTTCTCATGTAGTCACATAGTTCAGTTTCACATATGGTCATATATATACATCACATAGCGCATTCTTCTCATATCATTACATTCAAAAGCATGTTAACACATATAATCATGCATACATACAATTCATGTCATTTATATACGTATAATCATATATTCATGCATTTTAACATAGGAAATAGACTCATCGCAAGTCTTGTTTCCATTCATCATACATCACTAAAATACACTCACCTGAGCCTCACTAAGTTCCAATCCACTTTTATGATTTCATTTCTTTCGATCGAATCTTGACTTGATAATCGTTCCGGGGCTTGTTTGTGCTCGATATCTATATAATCATACATTGATACATATTAGTATCCAATTGATATACACTAATCTATCATTTCTTAGACCAAAAGAAAGGTATAATTTTATTTCCCTTGAAGTGCATCGATGCATTTTACAGTGTATCGATGCATCCCTTAACATGTGCATCAATGCACTCCTTATGAATCGATGCATTAATTGCATTCGATGTTTCTATTTTTAATGGGTGCATCGATGCACTTCCTATGTATCGATACACTCTGAACAATTTCTGGAAATTTACCCTTGATGCATCGGTGCACCTTGAATGTGCATGGATGCACATAGCCCAGAATTCATTTTTAAGCCCGAAAATCTACTCAAATCAACTCAAATGCTTTATCTTTCAATCCCTTTCATGTTCTCAACTCATATATACATGCTTAAACCAATTTATATCCATATAAACAATCTTTAGCTTCAAAATTCTTTTCCTCATATGTAACTCAAGAATTAAACCAATTTTGCAATATGTTTTAATTTCAATTCTATGGCTTCTAACTTCTTAATTAGACCATTGGCAAGTCAAATTTAACTTTCAACTATAGTTATGAACTCTATTTCAAGATTTCACCCAAAAACATCAAATCTTTAATCCCTCCTAACTCCATCATATTTTGATTTTAATATAACTTAAGCTTTCCTTAAGCTCAGTTATCATCTAATAATCATAAACCAACTTTTATTTCCACAAATAATCAACTAACCACAAAACTCACCTTTACCATGGTGACTCACGGCTGAAGAAGAAGAAGAGAACTCTGGAAGTTTATTTTGCCTTCTTTTCTCTTCCACGTGGCTTCCTTATCTAATAAAGGAAAATAAAAAATCTTCAATGTCAAATGACTATTTTACCCTTTACTTCATTCAATAATTACTAAATAATCTTCATCATATTTCTAATAAATCAT